GCTGGCTCCATGCTCCCTCGTCATCTCATGACGAGGGAGCATGGAGCCGGCCTCCCGGCCAATCAGGAAGCGCCTGGCTTCCTGATTGGACGGCTGGATACTGGAGGAAGGCCACGTTCTCGCTGGAGAGGCCCCAGGGGTGACAGGCTGGACATACCAAGGTAAGAGGGGACTTTCTTGTTAATCGGGAAGCCGGCTGGCATAAAGAGGACCTGTCATTCTTTTTTGGCTATCACATGGGGGGATGGCAATGTAGTTAAAATGTAAAAAAAAGTTTCATATTAAAAACAAAAAAAGTTTAAAGTCCCCTGCCCCCACGAGCACGCACTTATAAACGTAAATGCACATCAGGTGCGCCTACGTGCGAAAACGATTCCGCCGCACATGTTGCATATCGCCGCGAACGTCGCAGTGAGAGCAATCATTTTTGGGCCATTAATCACTGATAACACTAAACGGATGAGCGGTAAAAGCTTTTAAAGCGTTGCCTATGGCCAATTTTAGGCATGGTAGTTTTTTTTGCCATTTTGCGGGCGCATGCAATTTTAAAGCTTGACATGTTTGGTGTCTATTTGTGACAACATGTGACAACATCTTTAATATTTTACCAAAATTGGGTACTGATAAATGTTTTATAACATAACGGGGGGTGTTCAAAATTTTTGGTAATTTTTTCATTATATAGTAAAAAATAAAATCCCATGAAAAGAAAGCTCTATGTGTCCCCAAACAATGGTATAAAATGCATTTCAGTACAGGTATTCCTCACTTAACGACCGAGTTCCGTTCCTACGACCAGGTCGTTAAACGAATTGGTCGTTAAGTGAGGAACTCTATACAGTACTGTACTGCATTAGTACAGTACTGTATAGTGTTGCCGATGTACAGTACCGAACAGTGTACTGTACTTCGGGCAATGAAAATACTCACCGGGACCCACAGTGAAGATCGGAGGACACCACTTCCACCTGCGACACGGCGCACTGACGTTGACGTGCAAGGTCGGAGGTCGATCGGCTGTCCGTCGTATGTGCGAGTGGTCGCAAAACAGGTAAGTTGGTAAGCGAGGAACATCAGTACAGCGTTGCATGACAGAATAAATGTCAATCAAAGTACCGCAGCGCTGAATACTGAAAAATAGCCTGGACAGGAAAGGGGTTTAACACCTCGGTCTGCAAGTGGTTAAAGCCACCATCTGGTTTCATTAGCCAACAATCTCTGCTCTGTTTTGTTTTTTTATATTTGCCTTATGAATATACTGAGGATATTTACAACACTGAACAATAGCTGCAACCATAGGCAGTCCAGCTCAGCATTTACCTCTCGGTGATATCTCAGTAAGCAGTAGTATTCTTATCTGTGTTGCAGGCACTGTCACAGCAATGTTGATCCAGAGTTCTTTGAAGAGGAGACTTCCATATCCTAAGAAATGGAATATACTTCTATCTGTAGGTAAGAAAATACAAACTCACATGAGGTGGAAGACCTGTCCCAGTTCCTCCCCTACTTTACCCATTGCTGATGGGCAGGAAACCTGCAGGTCAGAACATTTTGGGGCTGCACTGTTCCCGTGAGAGCCAGGAGTCCAAACCCTGAGTAGGTTTTGTGTTATAGCTTACAAGGGGTTAATGTAGGTTGCCTACACTCTAGCAACGCACGGAATTTTTTTTGGAGAATGTGTCGCTGCTTATTCATATGTAAATAGCGCCACCCATTAATATGTAAACATCAAAGTCGAAACTATTCTCAGTGGGGGGCCAGTAGCCCCTATCCTAATTTTGGTTGCCCCTGTCTGCCTGACATCTTTTGTCCGGGTTTCAGCTGCCATGAAACCCAGACACAGCATTCAAAACCCAGACTGTCCGGGTGAATCCCGGACAGGTGGCAACCCTAGGTTAATGCCTTTTATCAACTTCCTCATGTGACATTTTTCAGCATGGTGTTTGTCTGCTCAGGCCTTAGCACTGCATCCTAACAGGAAGTCACATGATCCCCCTTAGGGCTGGTTCACATCATGTCTGGACCATGTCCAGACAAGAGCAGTTTGTTCCCAGACCAAAAAAGTTATTTCTGTGCTCTGTTTACACCAGCACAGTCCATTCCGGTCCAGACAAAAAAATACTGCTTGTCTCATTTTCTCTGGTCTGGAATGCACCGGAACGCATTGGAAATGCATCAAAAATGCAAACGCATTAAAAAACGCACTGGACTGCACCTGAAAGCCAATTTTAACCTTAAAAAATGGGGGCATTTATTAGAACTGGAGCAGACAAAAATCTGGGGCAGTTGTGCATGGCAACCAATCAGCTTCTATCTTTCATTTTTAAATCTTAACTGAAAAAACTGAAAAGAGAAGCTGATTGGTTACAATGCACAACTGCTCCAGATTTTGTCTGCTCCAGTTTTGATAAATTCCCCCCACTGTGTTTGAAGATCTGCTCCAGACATGGTGTGAACATAGCCTTACCCAGAAGCACCAGGTATTTACTGAGGGCTCCAACGCAGAGGTGAGGGCGCGGGGGGATTGGCCAGGGTGAGTATCAGCGGTTAGGGGTTTGTTCTTTAAAGACAGCTTATAATTTACCCTGAATAGGCGAAGTGACAGAGTCTCGTTATAAGGATTTGGCACGTGTCTGGATATGCAGTCTTTGCAGCCATATTTATGTATTAATTAAAATCCTCGACCGACTGAACTCTTTCTGTCACTAAAAATCAGGCATTGTTGAGAACTATTAATGAAAGTGTATGTTAACACTACTCTATTGTTTAATATGTTGGACATCACGTTTGACTGCCTACAGTCTTCTTAAACAAATCGTTTGTTGTTAATCTTTTGCAAAGTCTCTTACCTGGAAATCCCGCTAGTAACAGTACTTTCTGACAATGGAAGACTGACAATGTTAGGCACAGTTCACACCTAGCATTTTTGATGCATGTTTTTGTGCGTTTTTTGTGAGCAGATTGTAGCTCATTGTTGTTAATGAGCAAACGCGCAGAAACACAGCAAACACGCGTTTTCAAGCGTTTCCTATTGAGTCTATGGGGCCAAAATGAGCTGTAATATGCCAAAAAGCTCCTGTGCTTTTTCCAGCAACTGGCGTTTTGCTTACTGAGGCAAAACGTTCAAATGTGAACAGGGCCATAGAAATTAATGGGATTTTTTTTTGGGGGGGGGCATATTTTTGAGGGTTTTTTAGGGCAGAAAAAACGCTACAAAACGCTCAGTGTGAACCAGGCCTAAAGGCATTACTTTGCAATTAGCAAGCATTGTCAGCCTGCAGTGTGAACGCCTTCAGTTGGCCATTGGGCAGCCTATCTGATGGGCCTGATACAGTCCAACCGCCAGCCAAATAACGCACATGGAAAGCAGATGACACTGCTTCTAATTGTGAGACAGAGGCTAAGTGTTTTCAGCCTGCAAAAGCGAATGCTGCAACTTCCATGTTCTAAATGTAAGAAACTTTGTAATAGATTTAGAAAAAATGATTGCTTAAAGGAGAACTATGAGGTGAGTGAAAAGCCTCATAGTTCGAGTCGACGTTTGACAATGAAACTGTCACACGTCGGCTCAATAGATTGCGAAGTGGGTGAACGCATACCGTCGCTCGCTCACTTCTCGATCCTGTCCCTGCAGAGAGCCATGACTGTCACTCACGGCACCCTGCAGGGATTCCCCTGTCTGATCCTCCAGCGCTGACTGGCGGAACGGACGGGGGAGGGGCGGGTACAGCTGGCTCTGCCTCTAGATAGGCAGAGCCAGCTGTCAATCACGCAGCTGAGTGGATCCAGACAGTGATGTCGGGATCCGTCCCGGCTGCAGCGGTCTCAGTATACCGCGAGCTGTAGCTCGCGGTATACTGAGCTTTGGGTAACGGGAGGACGCTAGTTTGTGTCCTCCCGTGATCCTGGGGAGAACTATGGGGAAAAGCACTGACCGCATAGTTCGCCTTTAATAGATTTTGGGTTTCCTTACGGTTGTGTGAAAAAGTGTTGGCCCCCTTCCTGATTTTTCATTGTTTTACAAGATAGGCAGATCGTACGTTTTTTTTAAGTACCTTACAACCATCGCAAGACAAAAGTCTTGCGATAGTTGTAAGGTGTGTGCCCAGCATAAGCCTGTCTAGACACCACCTTTTCTAGCTCCTAATGACTGATATATACAGTTGTGTGAAAAAGTGTTGGCCCACTTCCTGATTTCTCATGGCTTTGCACGTTTGTCACACTTTAATGTTTCAGATCATCAAACAAATTTAAATATTAGTCAATCGGATCACGGACCGGCAGCGGCGACGAGGAGACGGCGGGACAGAGGTACAGGGGGGTGGGGAGGCCGCACACCCGCAGCTCCTGCAAGCGATCGGGCGTCTCTAGAGACGCCTGATCGCTTGTATGTAAACAGCCATCGCTGGCTGTTTACATGCTTACAGTTTCCCCGCTCGTGTGCGTGCTGAGTGCCACACACGAGAGGGGGGAGGGGCAGGACGTCTTAAGACGCCCTCCCGCTCCTAGCAGACGTGGTTAAGTGAGGTGGTTAAGTGATTTCTTGATTGCGAACAGGTGTGGCAGTAATCAGGCCTGGGTGTGGCTAGAGAAATTGAACTCAGGTGTGATAAACCAGAGTTAAGTTATGTTTTAAGAGGAGGGGGGGCAAACACTTTTTCACACAGGGCCATGTGGGGTTGGACTTTGTTTTCCCTTAATAATAAAAACCTTCCTTTAAAAACTGCATGTTGTGTCTACTTGTGTTATCTTTGACTAATATTTAAATTTGTTTGATGATCTGAAACATTAAAGTGTGACAAACGTGCAAAACAATGAAAAATCAGGAAGTGGGCCGACACTTTTTTTCACACAACTGTATATATCAGTCATTAGGAGCTAGAAAAGGTGGTGTCTAGACAGGCTTATGCTGGGCACACACCTTACAACTATCGCAAGACTTTTGTCTTGCGATGGTTGTAAGGTACTTAAAAAAACGTACGATCTGCCCATCTTGGACAGGCAGATCGTACTTGAGGGGCGGGCATCCGATGACCGCAATGCCGAACGGCCCGTCCGGCTCTTATCTTACGAACATGCTACACACCCACCGAACATCGTACGATGCTCGGCGGGTTTTCGAACATGTTCGTAAGTTTAAAGTCTCCATCTTGGAGCACATGGGGGCAGAAGATATCAAATTGGTGGTGAGACATGTTGTTTTACATGCTGGTTTTGTGAGTGTGCCATGATGCCTTTCTGCTGTTTTACTATTCAAAGCCCATTTCGTGTGCACCTTACTGTATAACTGGTAACAAATTGTTGAGTGCGTTTGTCGTTTGTTTTGCTTGACCGATTTGGTGCAGCGACGCATGGGGTTTCTCAGCTGCCAATAGGATGTGCGGGATCCCTTGTGTGTTTCTGTACCTTTAAGGAGGTTGGGCGTCCTCCTGACAAACCTGCACCCAATTTGATATCTTCTGCCCCCATGTGCTCCAAGATGGAGACTCTCATAGTTTAGAGTTAGGACCGCACTATAAGAGGTGCCTTGGCGCGGCAGTGCGGCTTACACATCCTCGGCTGAAGACGTGTATCCAAACCTCTGTCATTATCCTTAGTGGTGAGACAAGTTGTTTTACATGCTGGTTATGTGAGTGTGCCATGACGCCTTTCTGCTGTTTTACTATTCAAAGCCCATTTCGTGTGCACCTTACTGTATAACTGGTAACAAATTGTTGAGTGCATTTGTCGTTTGTTTTGCTTACAGTAGTAGAGGTCGCACGGCTTCCACACACCTTACGATAATCGTACGATCGTGGGATTTAGCTTGATTATCGTACAATTATCGCAAGGTGTGTGGGGACCTTTACAGTTGAGGGTGGGGAGTATGAGCAAAATCACCTTTTGATGTGGTAAAGCTCATATATAGTTTATTAGAGGGATTTTCAGAGGAAACTGCGACACTTCAGACTATCTAGCCATATAGCATAGCAGAGGTATGTGGATGACTCAACAGCATGGTCCCCCAATACAATCATTTACCAGTAGAAATTCAGTAATCTTTTGAATGAAAGCAAACACCGGACACACCTACATGCTAGAATGAATGGATGCCATTGTTTCCAGACAGATGATGGTCTTTCACTTTAACGGGTAACTGAATTCTTTTTATTGACTTCCTGATAGTCTGCTTGGTGCCAAAAGTTGAACTTTTGATATTCTTGGAGATACATTTCAACTAGTTTTACTTTTGAGTATTCAAGATCCGTCATTAGCACAGATTTTTTCGGGTAATTCCACTTAA